GGCCAGCTCAGGATCAGCACTGGGATCCACCCCAAACTCGAAATCAGACGCCCCCAGCCCCAGCATGGCGCCGCCCTCGCCCGCCAGGATCGGGGAGCTGATGAGGGCGTCRGCCAGGCTGGGTCCCGGTGGCACCGTCACCAGGTGAGAGCCGCTGCCGTCTTTGCCGTTGAGCGCCGTCACAAACGCCGTCAGCTTCTCCGTGTTGGCCTCCTGGGAAAAACAGGAATGCCGGGATCAGGGGCTGGGAGAGGGCTGGGAGAGGGTGGGAATCGGGGCTGGGTGAAGGAGAGGGGGTTGGGGTTTGTGGGGTCGTTAAATGATGGAAAAAGGGCTCAAAAATCATCAAATCTACTCTCAAAGACCCAAAAAATGTCCCCTGCTGGAGATCAGGGATGGGAATGGTTTGGGATACAGGGAATGGTTTGGGATACAGGGAATGGTGGGAATGAGGGCCTAGAAAAGGTTGGGAGAGGGTGGGAATCAGGGCTGGGGGAGGGAAAGGGGTTTGGGGTTTTATGGGATCATAAAATGATGGGAAAAGAGCTCAAACTCATTCCCATCAGGATGGGAGGGGTTTAGGACACAGGGAAAGGGCTGGGAATTGGGGCTTTCCATGGAAAAAAACCTCCAAAGTCATCAAGGGTTGATGTTATCCCCAAAAAAGAGTCAGGATTTTCTAGGAGGGGTGGGCAAGGTCCCAGATCCCATCGGGAATGGGGGAATTCTCGGGATTCTCACCTCCTCCCCGAAGTTGATGATGTCCACGTTGACCTTCTCCTTCTTCAGGCGCTTGGCCAGCTTCACCAGCTGGGAAAAACGGGAGATTCCCTGGGATCGGGACAGATCCGGGATCCTGCCCCACATCAGGTGAAAATTTGGGATTTGGGCCCAAATCGGCTTCCCAGATCGGAGAGATCCAGCCCAGGGATCCAAGGATCCACCCAGGGGTTCATCCCAAAAATCCAGGCCTGGGATCATCCCAGAGATCCATCCTGAGGATCACCAAAGGAGCCATCCCAGAGAGTGGCTGATGGTGGGATTTTCTGGGCTCTGATCCCTGGGAAAATCCTGGGATTTTCTGAGCTTTAGTCCTGGGATTTTCCGGGCTCCAATCCCAGAACCAATCCTAGGAATTTCTGGGGTCCGATCCTGGTCTATCCCAAGATTTTCTGGGCTCCTATCCCTGTCTAATCCTGGGATTTTCTGTGACCCCTGGTTGATCCCGGGATTTTCTGGGATCCCAGGTACTGATCCCGGGATTTTCTGGGCTCCAATCCCAAAACCAATCCTGGGATTTTCTGGGCTCTGATCCCTGGCCAATCCCAGGATTTCTGGGGCTCCAATCCTGATATTTTCCAGGCACCAATCCCACGATTTTTGGGCTCCAATCCCAGGATTTTCTGGGCTCCAATCCCGGTATTTTCCAGGCTCTGATCCCTGGCCGATCCCGGTATTTTCCAGGCACCAATCCTGGGATTTTTGGGGCTCTGATCCCTGGCTGATCCTGGTATTTTCCGGGCACCAATCCCTGATATTTCCCGAGCTCCCATCCCGATTTCCCCGTTCCCACTCACGTCCTTCTCATTATCCTCCACGGGGCTGCCCACGAAGGCGATGATCCTCATCTTGTGGTTCTTCCCCTGGCGGTGCTTCAGCGCCAGCTGCGGGAACATCCCGGGATTTGGGACGGAATTCCCGGGATTTGGGATGGAATTCCCAGGATTTGGGACGGAATTCCCGGGATTTGGGACAGAATTCCCGGGATTTGGGATGGAATTCCCGGGAAAAGGGGCTGGGAATTTGGATCCCCCATCCCAGATCCTGGGATCTGCCCCATTGGGTGGGGTTTGAGGGGGGATTGGGGGAGAGGAGCAGAGCTAGAGTGAAATTCCTGGGATTTTGGGGGGAATTTCCAGGGATTTAGGTCAGATTTTCAGGGATTTATTTGAAACTTCCATGGATTTATGGTGGGTTTCCAAAGATCTACATTACATTTCCTAAATTTTATGTTGGGATTTCCTGGGATTTGTGTTAAGATTTCTATAGATTTACACTGGAATTTCTGAGCTTTATGTGAGATTTCTATGGATTTATCTTGGAATTCCTGAGATTTTGGTTGAATTTACTAAGGTTTAGATTGGATTTCCATAGATTTAGCTTGGATTTCCATGGATTTATAGGAATAGGGGATCTCCAAAGATTTAGACTGAATTTCCTGGGATTGTAAAATTTCCATAGATTCATACGGGGTTTCCATAGATTTAGTTTAGAATTTCTGAGATTTATATGGGATTTCCATGGATTTATGGTGGAATTCCCAAGATTTACACTGGATTTCCATGGATTTTGCCAAATTTAAAACATTTCCTCGTCTTTTAACCAAAAAAATCGATTGAAACCCAGAATTTTCTCCCACTGAAACCCCAGAAAATCCCAATTTTCCACATCCAAGCTGGAAAATCCCTCTGGAATCAGGGACTCCAAACCTTCCCAGGGCTGGTAATTAAAGAGAGATGTTAATTAGGGATTAATTAGGGGCAGGACTCACGTGAGCCACGCGGATGCCGGTGCAAAAGGTGATTTTCCCCTTGGGCTGCACCGTGTGGAGCTTGGACAGGATGCGCCCGGTGTCCGGGGTCAGCGTGGTCAGCACCTCGCAGTTACTGCCGGGAAAACATTGGGAAAAATCAGGGAAAAATCCTGGGAATTCTGGAGAAAATCCTGGAAATTTGGGACAAAATCCCCCTGGGAGGAAATTCCCCCCTGGAACCAAGCCCGGTGTCCGGGGTCAGCATGGTCAGCACCTCACAGTTACTGCTGGGAAAACACTGGGAAAAATCAGGGAAAAATCCTGGGAATTCCAGAGGAAATCCTGGGAATTCCAGAGGAAATCCCCTGGGAGCAATTCCTGAGAAATCTGGGAGGAAATGCCCCCTGGAACCAAGACAGGTGTTTGGGGTCAGCGTGGTCAGCACCTCGCAGTTACTGCCGGGAAAACATCGGGAAAAATCAGGGAAAAATCCTGGGAATTCCAAATGAAACCCTGGGAATTCGTGAGGAAATCCCCCTGGGAGGAAATTCCCCCCTGGAACCAAGCCTGGTGTCCGGGGTCAGCGTGGTCAGCACCTCGCAGTTACTGCCAGGAAAACATCGGGAAAAATCAGGGGAAAATCCTGGGAATTTGGGAGAAAATCCTGGGAATTTGGGACAAAATCGCCCTGGGAGCAATTCCTGGAAATGTGGGAGGAAATCCCCCCTGGAACCAAGACAGGTGTTTGGGGTCAGCGTGGTCAGCACCTCGCAGTTACTGCCAGGAAAACATCGGGAAAAATCAGAGAAAAATCCCGGGAATTTGGGAGAAAATCCTGGGAATTTGGGAGGAAATCCCCCTGGTACCAATTCCTTTGGGAATTGGGGAGCAAACTCCCCCTGGGAGCAATTGCTGGGAATTTTCTATAAGAATTTGGGAAGAAATTCCTTCTGGGAGCAATTCCTGGGAAATTTTTTTGGGGAATTGAGGAGCAAACTCCCCCAGGAGCAATCCCTGGGAATTTTCTTTGGGGAATCTGTGAGGAAATTCCCCCTGGGATGAATCTCCACCCTTCCCAGTTCCGGCAGCGATTCCTCTGGGATTTTTTTTGGGAATCCAGGCGGCAATTCCCCGAGTTCCCCGCTATTCCCACGACCCCAAAATTCCCAAAATTCCCAAAATTCCCTTTCCCTACTTGGCCAGGGTGATGAGCCCCACGTTGTTCTCGGGGTTGCTGCGGGTTTTGGAGTGGCAC